TGTACAAACTGACGTTACACACTCTGTACGCGCACTGTACAAGCACTTTCTCACACTTGGGTTTGGGGTTTAGGGTTTGGGGTTCAGGGTGTGGGGTAATGTAGTCCCATGATTAATAAAACCCCCTCCTTTTAAGGGCCTAAATATTAGGACTCCATTATAATCCCTGTTAAGGGGAGGGAGTTTATTAATCAGGGGTCGGGGTCAGTATCCTGCAGTCCCTCATCATTATCGTTGTAAGTGTTCAATCATTCTTCTTACAAGCAGTATCATTATGGTTGTTGTTATACTGCCTCCTGTCACGGCTTTTCCATGTGGCTGGAAGTTCTACATGGTACATGCAAACCATCGACGCGCCAAAACGGGCCTCTTCAGTCTCGAAGTGGACAAAGCCATAACCGTAAGAATTTCCCATCAAATCAGCGGCAACCTCCAAATGAGGGGTCAGAGTCCAGCCAGTAGCCAAGATGAACTGGTCTGCAGCTTTAAGGTATTATTATGACTGTTCTATTACTACTATTACTATTGCTATTCCTACTCTTAGTACTACAATTATTAGCACTACTCTTATTGTTACTATTATCTCTACTACTATTAGTGTTACTTAGATTATCATTACTAGAAATAAGTACTACTATTCGTATTGCACGAGTATCATAATCAAATATTGTATTAATTGTTACCACTAGTATTATTACTCTTAGTATTGTCACTACTACTATTCTTCTCACTACTATTGTTATTACTACTCGTATAGGGATGGAGCAGGCAGCCTTGCAAGACCGAATCTCACCGAACACGCTGAAGGTGTCGTGCAGCGCCTGACATTGAATAGCAGCAGAAATAATAATAATAATAATAGCAGTGATGATATTATTAGTAATAGTGCTAGTAATAATATTAGTAATGATATTAGGAGTAATAATAGTAGTAATAACGATAATAGTAACAATAATCCCCTAAACCCAAAAAACCTTAAACCCTAAATAATAGTAAACATAGTAATACTTGTAGTAGCAAGAATAATGTTTGTAGTGTTAGTAGGGTGCGGGTGTCAAGACCGACAAGCAGGCCCAGGGTTTTAGGGGCTTAGGGTTGTTCAGTTTGAGGGCTTTGGGGTTTGAGGGCTTAGGGTTTAAGGGTTTGGGGTTTTAGTGTTTCAGTGTTTTTTTTTGTTTAGGGTGTGGGGGGTGCGCTACTGGAAGCGGTTGCGCGATAGACCCTAAACCCAATGAATTCAAGCCTTGTTGTCGATGTTCTTGTCAAGGTTAGCAACATACACGTTGCTGTTGTTGGCCTCTGGGTCAAGAAGACATGAGCTGTAGTCTAAACTCCTAGCATCTCCCTTCATAATTCATATGACACTCCCCTTTATGACCCCGTTTATGGAGTTTAGTCTTTAGCTCACATGAAGCATGCGCCGGGCATGAGCCAGCAGTCCACCTCTGCGGAAGCTTCCCTACAGCCTGGCCTTTCTCTGTCCAGCATCTTTCTGACCTTAATGGTAGTAAGAATACTAATAGCAGTAGTGGTAATAGTAAGAACAATAATAGTAATAAGAGTAATAATGATGATGAGTATCGGAGTACATGGTAATCATAAGAAGAATCGCATTAATAGCAATGTTCATACTTACACAGGCTGCTGTCATGGTCGCAACACCGAGTCACTCCACATCAGACGACAGCTACGGCCATGGATGCTCGTATAACTTAGCGAATCCAAAGCTGTCTCAGCATCCTTCACATTGTGGAAATTCACCTTGGCGCAGATCCAGTCCAACATGTCGATACTACTTGCAGGCAGTGAGATGCCGCACTTCACACATTGCGCAGAGCCTCCAAAATTGCTTGTCTGAGTCACATATCCATAACCCAGCGATTTCTTTGTGATCTTGTCTCGGCAGACACGAATAGAAGCCACGGGGCCGACTTGGTTGAAAAGCTCATACCTGGATGGAGGCGTCCTATAGCGTAGTACCATAATTCCAATTGGTTGTGTACTTACAGCGATGGCAGACGGTCCATCGACGATATGGTGTGGGGTAATCCTCTTTATATGAGGCTAGTGTCCCCCTTACAACCCCTATAATACACCCCTACATGACCCCCTATATAACCCCCTTTAAGGAGTGTAGACAATAGCTCATATGACCTGGTGGTTGCACCCAATAAGATCATATTCTTCTCATAAAGATTCAAGATGGCAGAATGCCATGGACATTTACGGGTACATGTTACTCGGGCGTAGAGGATATAGTAGCAAGAGTACTAATAGTAGTAGTGATAACAGTAATAACGGTAATAAAAAGAATAATGATAATTATGTCCACAAGTGCGATCACCGCTCATGGACGGGGCCTCAATAATTGAAGAAGTCGCGAGGGCCAAAACGATGAACTTCAAAGAGAACATGCAACCGGGCGGCAACATCGCCTCGGTGACCTCTGGATGAAGGTCACCTCACTGAGTTGTATGGAGACTGAGGCAAGCAACGGACATCGCAGGCAAAATCGCGCCTTCCCTTGGCTAACAATGGCAAATAAGGCCTCTGCCAACATAGAGGGAAGCAAGCTGGGGCGCCCTGTTGCTCTGCATGATGTCAACCAGATCCGCAAGAGGCTTCAAAGCCGCGCTCCAGAAGGCGGCTCAAGATGACCATGTACTTCAGCATGGACAGCCATGGCTTGCAGTGTGTTCTCTCATCCACCCCTGCAAACACTTCTGCAAAGTGAGGGCTGAATACTGAGGGTAAGCGAAGTCTGTAAATCCGCGAGTGTTCAGGCCCGTCATGGCTGTCCATTCACGTTGTTATCATTGTTGCTGCCTCATGTGCCTGCGTAACGCTTTGCTGCTGTAAACGCAAGACGAAGAGCCAGTAAGGCTGCAGCCAGAAGTTTCATCGCAGAACCCTCAGCATGCAGTTACACAGCGGGAACACACGCTCCATGACTCTGTGTATGAGTAAGGCTCCCAGGGCAATCAAACCCTTTTGTCACCGTAGGTACTTAGAGAAGGACGAAGAAGCCAAGGATGTAACTGTAAATCATAGCTGCGGGACATCTTTACCGGGTTGGGGCATGCTTGCTCAGCAACTGGTAAGCTCAGGAGGCAATTCTCGATTTCAGTTCCAAGTTTCCCGACAAGTTTCAACTCGAATCAAACCGGTAGCACTTGATAGATCCGACTGAAAACCTTAACCCGTAACCCTGGGGGGGCGGAGCCAGCTGGGCTCTTGTTTTCCTGTGTCCACCATGGTCCGCCCATGGTCCGCCATGGATGTAGTGCCGGTGAGAGCTGTACGCCGACTACGCCCGTGGGTTCGTAAACTGCCTCCGGCAGTGCAAACCATGGCACATGTACCCACGAGTAAAGGCCCCTATGGAAACAATACCTTTTTGCCACCTTCTTCGTTGTAGAAGAGGGCCTCGTGGCAACACCCAGGAAATCAATCAATGTTGCATTGTTGACTAACAGCGCAGACATAGGCCGCTCTCAGATAACCACAGCCGCTGCACGAGCATTGTCGTCCTACACACAGCATGAGGAAGTTTCCCTAAATTACTGTTCCCAAAATGGGGGAAATTTATCTAGGGCCCCGTATTATAATAGGAACCTAAATATTGGACCCCGTATTGACAGTAATTTAGGACAATCCCCATGAAGCAACAAAAGGCTGCGCTGACCCCCATGGTGCGTCGCCCAGTGCTGATCAGCACAAACATGCTGTTGTTTTGGCTTCGAGGATGGCTTGAATTTGCCGATGCTCAAAGGTTTAGGTTTAGGGTTTAGGGTTTAGGGTTTAGGGTTGCTCATGGGCTTTCCTCTGGGCCAATGTTACTAGTCTTACTATTGTTGCTAGTCTTATTATTGCTACTATTACTATTATTGTTACTTTTCTTACTGTCGTTGCTATTCTTAACATGGCCACCTAAACCCTAAGCCCTAAACCCTAAATGGTAGTTTCCATTTTCTTTTCCACTATCCCTATATATACTATTATTATATTATTACATGAGCCCTGGACTAAATTTGTAGTATATCCCTTAATAAGGTCCCCCCCAAAATCCTATATAGTCCTTATAGGTCCCCCCCAACCTAAATTTAGTCCGTAGCTCACATGATTTTTGGAGCACTCGCGTGAAAGCTCGACTGGGAAGCGGAGTTCCTGCCAAGGCTCGGTCTTCGAGCCCTGGAATCAGGACTGTCGCTGTACACTTCTGTGAAACAAAGCTTCTGCAAGCACATTCATGCACCGAAAGGGTTTAGGGTTTAAGTTTAGGGCTTTAGGGTTTAGGAGTTTAAGTTTAGGGCTTTAGGGGTTTAGGGTTTAGGGCTTGCACCCAAATCACCGCTTAAGCATACTCTTGGTACTTGGCCTCTGCCCGTTCGATTGCCTTCCGAAGCTCTCAGGAACGTCGACAATGCCAAGCAGAAAAGCACATGATGATTCACGCAAATGACTTGTTGCGCAAAAGACGCCCGAGCCTCCTTGTCCAAATCCAACTCTTTTGCCTCCTGGCAGTGGCAGGTGATTTCAAACTGCTTCAGCTGCTCAAAGCGATGCAACTTACTGGGGGTTAGTGGGGAATGAGGGAATTACTATGTACGGATTATGTAGCTACCATCTTCCCTAAGTCCCTACTGACCACCAGTAAGGCAAGTTGTTTGAGGGGTGGTGGCACCCTATAACCCCAACATAACCCCTATATTTTCCCTAGTTTCCATTTCATGCTCCATGTTCTCTTCCATTTGATTCTCCATTCTTGGGTATAACCCTTATGTAACCCCCACATAACCCTTAACCCTAAGCAACAAATGCATCAAACAGTGCATTCCCCAAGAAAACGTACGTACCCACCGCAAGCACTACAGAAACTTACTGGTGGTCACCAGGGAATAAGGGAATAGAATCCCTAAATCATCCCTACTAGCCCCCAGTAAGCTACCTTAAGCCCTACAGAAACTCGCAACGATTACGGTATGCTGCAGCCGTAGGAACCTCTGCGCTAAGGCAAGCGTACACTCATGTGGGTTATTTAGGTATGTATATATATATACATATGTATGTTATATATATATATATACACGTAGCGGCTATGTAGGGATTATTATTTAGGGGTTACATAGCGGCTATGTAACGAATATGTTAGGGGTTACACAGAGATTATGTAGGGATGATACCCCAATGATGGAGAAACAAATGGAAAAGCAAACCCTGAACCTTTAAGCTAGTATCTAGGGGTCCCTGGGAACTACCTGACGTTACAGGCCTCTTCGCGACCATCGATTGGGGGTCCCCTTTGAGGGCTGTATAGGGGATATATGCACATGTGGGTCATGTAGTGACATGATAAGGATACATACAGTTTAAGGCTTCCAACAATCAAGGACCTCCATTGAGCCGTGGGGATATAATGAGGACTCTGGTTTTTGGAAACTTCCATGCTACCATGCAGAGAAGTGGGCTTTTCAGAATATACGTGATCCCACTACGGACCCCAAATTACTACCATCCCTATCCTAAACCCTAAAGCCTAAACCCTACAGGGACTCCCAGAAAGGTACCCCCATTTTGCGGAAACCCCGAACCCTATGAAACCATATATGATCCCAGTTCGTGTTTATTTTCCCGGTGTCTTTTGAATTTGATTCTCCGTTATTGGAATAATACCCCTACATAAGCCCTATACAGCCCCTATAGAACCTATATACGGGTTGTTCTCAAAAATCTGGCCCCCTTTGGTCATAGATTATAATTCGCCACCTAATATGTAGGCGTACCTAAAAGGGACTCTATTTTTTTGAGACGTATCCATATAATCCTATAGGTATTGCCTCCGTAACCCCTGGTGTCCTCGATGTACTGGCGCATCATATTCAAGTCCAACGTCAGGACCTGGGCAATTGAAGGCTGAAAACCTTTTTCCAGGAAGTGCAAGCTTTAGAGGTTTTGCCTAGGGTTCAGAGATCTGAGTTTTAAGGCTTAGGGTTTAGGAAAAGACTATGTATCCATGTTCAAACCTTAAGTGCTGTCCTACCTTGAGAAGTTTCTGCGGGCTCCAAATGAGCAGAAGCTAGGTTTCAGGCGGCAAGATTCAAATTCTGGATGCAGTCAACCTTTCGCTCCTGACCACGCGATTGAGGATTTCAGGCTTATGGCGCATGGGATTTCGGGCTTATGGCGCATGATAGTCCCCATGAGGTAATCGTAAACCCCCCTGAGAATAGATGCTCCAAATATAACACACCTAAACCCAGAGCTCTAAACCCAACTACATTCAACAGACTGGGGAGAATAGTCTTTATTGTGGGAGTTGGGAGAGGAAATCAGTGGATATTCCGGTGCGAAAGCCTGTGCAACTCTAGTATGGTCTGTGCTTTCGTAAGAGACTATAAGCTAAACCCACTCCCAGCTCAACTACGATGTAAAGGGATATAAATGAATAGGGAATCAAATGGAAAGTGAAATGGAAACAGCCGCACATAGGGATCTGGTAGTCTCTCAACATTAAGACCGCAACATAGACCTGGAAAAACGAGATAATCCTTTTTTCTGGGGACCCCTGGAAAGGATGGTACCCTAATATCAGAAAACCCCCATGTATGCGGAAACCCCAATCAATAACCCCCTATAAAACCGCATCTATCTGTGTATATATATATATACATATATATATATATAGCAGTTTCCATTTCATTGTCCATGCGCTTTTCCATTTGGTTCTCCATTACTGGCGTGTGTATATATATAACCCCCATTGCAACCAGCAAGTCCTCTAGCTGCAACTCTTGGCGTCGAACACAGGCAGCCTGACCGCAGGAGGAATCATGGAATCGTGAAGCATCATGGACTGAGTAGCGGGTTGAGGGCTTAGGGTTTAGATGGAAGGCTTGAACTCGCAGATTTCAGACTCAGACTCATGAATTTCGGTCTATTGCAATTTTCCTTAAGTGATTCTGGTTGTGCGTCAGACATTCAACTATGCGCAGCGCACTTTGGATGTCTCATTGGGTCTAAGTCCGCGTCAAGATCATTCGCAGGAAGATTTCGGTCTTACGATTCTTACTATTCTTCCTATTATGACTACCCCTAAACCCCTAAACCCCAAACCCTACAATTATCATTCTGGTTGCACTTACTACTATTATGACTGTTATTACTGATATTACAAATACTCATGTCCCAGCCAGGTGACAACTCCACCTTGGCTTAGGGTTGAAGGTTTAGGGGTTTGGGGTTCTGTCAAACATGGTCTCCGGTGGTTTTGTTGCTGTGTAACTTCCAGCTCAGCAATGTGGATCGAATTCCTCGTCCCTTCCCCAGGGCGCAATCCAGATTTCATTTTTGTCCGCACGACGAAGAACTCAAAACGATGATTCGATGCGTTTCAGCTGCACCCAGCGCAAAGCAAATAGGGAATCCGGTTTTTGAGCAGCTGGGATGTGCAGGATTTGGCATAGCATGGCAGCTTATCTCGTTCGAAGGCTCTGTGTAACAGGTCAAGCATTGTGAAGCTCGGCAGTGCATGGGGTGCCCTCCCAGCCATTGAGGGCACTGCTAGGGAATGAACCCATTTGTGTGAAACACCCAGCTCTGCATCAGACTTCAACCAAAATGGCGTTGACCTTGCTCAAAGCCTTGCAGCTCAGCTGCTGCGCAAGAATTTGGGCTGCCAATGCTTCTTAGTCTTTGTCTTGCTGTTGTACTTGTCCTTGTTCTGGGAGGCTTGCCCTGCTTCCATAGCAGCGCGGCGCTGGCTGAGCTCAGTACGAAGCCCCCTTCTGTCCTTGGGCCTGCACCACCACGATTCATCGGGTGCCATGTACATGGCATAGTGTCTTTTGAGCTCTTCGTCATCCTCGCTTTCATCCATGGCTGAACTGCCTGTCGCGTCTGAAGTGGAGGTAGGGGACGTACTTTGGTCACCTTCTTCCAAATGGACTCCCTGCTGCTCTTGGATCGCGAAGAACTCCTCCACCCTGACAGCGCTCGGCTCCGGATCATCAAGCTGCAGACGGTAAATACCGTCGATCCCAATCATGTAAGCGTGTGAGCCAACTTTGACCAAGTCTCCCAAGGTCATGGACGCATGGTCTACCTCGACATCGGCATCTAGGCAATCCAATGCCTCGCCGTTGGGTGAATAACGAACAGCCTGAAAGGCTACGAAGAGGTCGTAGAGCCACTCGATCATGCCCGGACCGTCCTCTGCTGGGCAAGAAACCTGTCGAAGAAGTGAATGGGTTGCGCTGATTCCGACCTTTGGCTTGGAGATGTGCCTGGCCCAAACAGCCATGGCTGTCGCGTCTGTGAAGAAGTGCGGCAACACGTTGCGGAAGAAGCTGTCATTGAAGAACATCACTTCTGCGATTCGGCACCCCTCAGGGGCCTCCTCAATCTCTGCAATGGCAGCTGAGCGGAAGACATTGACCGGAGGCCGGTGTTCGCCACGCCGGTATTTTTGGAGAGGCTCCAAGTTCGTCTCCATGAAGGTCTCCAGCAAACCATCCATTTTCATGCATGTCGCGAAACTTGTTGGCATCGGCCACGGCTCCTCGGGCTGCAGGCAACTCTGCCAGGGCTGCAGTCCTTCTTGGCTGACACAAGACCTTGGCTGCTCTGGATGGTCTGGCTAGGACTATGATTTTGCTGACCTGTGTATGAAACATTCAAAATTCGGGCATGACCGGAATATGTCCAAAAAGTGCTCAGACCATGAGTGCGCTAAATTGCTACGAGGGGACAGGGCCACACGGATGGGCCAAGAGGACGCGATGATCTTGCCAGTGAACTCTCGACCGCGGCGGCGAGTGTCCTCCACCACATCCCCTATGGAAGATGACTCCGAAGCGGTGTCGGAATCCATGGCTTGGCGGTTGGAGGCTTCCCCAATGTCACCCTACACCCAGAATCTCGAAAAATCGCCCGACAAGCCCTCTGCCAAGATAAAACAATAGCCTCTGGCCATCTTTATGTTTTGCTATGCCAGCCTCAAAGGAGAGACACGGCTTGCGAGCCATGCGCCAGAGACCACGGACCAAGGTAACACTTCTGAATCAATGCGGGCTTCCATTTCATGATTCCATCAAATCGTATCCTGGCCCTCCGTTTAATGGAAACTGATTGAGGAAGCGTTTTCTTTTCCTGTTCAGCTGCCGTCAGGGTCGGAAATGCACTTCATTCCGGCGGTCACGGCCCCCGGAAGCTCTCAAGCACCTCAAACACCCTCCAGCTCTTTTACATTACGTACAAGATTCGCACCTTTCAAAAAGCTTTGCTCACTCTATGCGCCCCTACATGCACCCTAAGACCGGAGCAGCAGCCTCTCCGATGACAAGCAGCGCCCTGCACCGTGATGCGCTGACGTGAATAGTATTGTCAAACAGGTACAACATGGGATAGATGGTGTGCAGCGCGTCCCGGGCTTGGTTCACCCCAGCATTCACCACGCAGTCCAGCACTGACTTACCAGAGGCCCCTCTACTCCTCGGGGCAGTTGAAGAACATCCCGCAATTCTCTCGCATGCCGATTTATGAGGGTTGCAACCGCAACTTGTGTGCAACATTATGCAAATTGCAAGAGAATCAAGAGAGGCTGAAGTTTATGCAGCGGTCGAGCGGCCTGGAGCATGGCCCTGCGGAGCAAAAAGGCCTCAGAGGAGTACCGCTTTTGCGCAGCTCCCAAGCCAATGAAAGTATAAGGCTATTACCCCATTATGGAGAATCAAATAAAATGGAAAATGACATGGAATCTACTTTGTAGGGAATGACAGGACATCAAGGTGGTTCAGTGCTGTGGCCTGACCTGACTGGTTTTTGTTCGCAGGCTTCTGCTCGTCAAGGAGATTCGGCGACATGTGGACATGAGGGGCCTCCTAGAACTGGATGTGTTTCGAGAAATCTACATCATGTCAAAACGGATTGCTTTTCCACAGCGATTTGTGCAGGCTTCTTGCGGGCCAGCAGTGTTGTGTTATTTGTAATTGCTACGTATAGAGAAATGTTTCAGAAGGGATTCCCTTATCTCGCTTGTCCGTTAGGAGAATTTCCTTGTCTCGTCCATTTTTGTCCTGCACGCAATGACCCAAGCAATTCAAGCTGGTCATCCAAACATTGTGCCCCCAAGATAACTCACCCGGCCTGAAACGGGGGACCTTCATGATGCAGCACCCAAACTACTGAAAAGGCCGGCAACAACTGAGCTCTCAGCTTTTAGAGGAGCAGGGTCCGGATTCAAACGCCGCGTGCCATCAACTGCTCTTGTTTTCTACGAGCAGGCAATTCCTAAGCTATTTATTGCACACGTGCTCTGAACCGGAGGGGCAAAGACCTGGCCCTTCCATCATGGCACCTACAACTAACAGAGAATGCGCCTTGGGTACAGCAGATATTGAGCAGGCGGACTTCGCGGGATGCGCATAGCATGGCAAGCTTTTTTAAAGCTGTTTTGAAGGCTCTGTGTGAGAGGTCAACTACCGTGAACATCCACGGCAGGGCATGAAGTCTGATCCTTGATATTCCTCGTCTTCCTCCTCCTTCTTCATCTTCTTTCGTACAGTCTACGCGCTCTGTGAGCAAAGATCTTCAGCTACAGGCCGGCTAGGGCAGCTTCAGTAGGGCAAACCAACCAGTCCATCGATCTGCATCAAACACCCAGCTTTGCCTCAGACTTTACAGCATAGGCTTTATCTATTTATAGGTGAAGGCCGAGTTCTTTAGAGTCCTCAAGCAAGGTGAGCTCGCGCCAAAATTAGTATTCCCAGAAGCGGCCGCATCTTAGTTGGGTTTCCCCTATCGGTANNGGTAAGCAGGGTTTGCGTGAAATTACAAACCATGGCCGCCCGAAGACTAGTTCCTTTCACGGAGATTAACGGTTGTGGCTCAGGTGACTTTGACCTAAACCAGCAGGATGTGCTCCTCAGCATTGCTCTGGCGTCAACACCCTGATGGCGATGGAGGAAGGGCAAGGCCTAATGACAAGAAACTGGAAACAAGCAATGACAAGCACATGTGACATGCTCCCCTTTTTCGGAACTTCTTGTCACCATGGAGGGCCCTTTTTACAATTACTGTGTGGATCGGTGACTGTGTCTAGAATCCATGGGCCACCATCGTGTTCCGCATTTTAGCTTACATCTTGCAAGTGACTGCTGCTGGCTTTCGAAGGGACAATGCCGACAATGCTGGTCTCCTGCTGTTTTAGGTCAATAAGTACGGCTGCTCACTCATGCACACAGCTTTACGTACAATAGCCAAGCTTCCCAGAAACACCGCGTTCGTTGTTTGTTGGGCAGGCTGCAACGCGTTGTCGTGAGAAGGAAACCGATTGTGTGGAGACAGTCAAAGTGGTACCACACGTGGGTGAGACGCAAGCCGCGTGCCTTTCGGCAACTGTGGCCGCTTGTGGAAAATTGTCTCAATTCACCGGCACCAGCGCTTCATAGTGGCCGTAACCATGGAAGAGAACGCGGACGGGTTCTCCGGGTAAGTCCTGCCGTCATGCTATGAGCACGGCTCTGTCGGGTTGGGTGACGCATGCCTGCCTCGGAGTAAGTCAAAAAGTGTTGAACTCGATTGTGCCCGTCTGTAATGTACACCTTAGTAGGCAGCAAAATTGTGTGCTGTGGTCACGTCACGTGAGAAGACCGATTGATAAAGATGCCAGTACACTCCAGCATGGAGCCACATCCATTTGCACAGGCTTCTTTTGGATCAGCAAGTGTTGTCATTGCTGCGTATAGGGAAATGTTTCAGAAGGGATTCCCTAATCTCGCTCGTCCATTTGGCGTTGTTCAAACGACCCGTTCACCCAAGCGGCCTACTCCCTTGCACGAACATGCACGAACGCTTTCGCCTTTGTGTGCGGGACCGCATGTTACCGCCTTGCGACATGGAAAACGGATGTGCCGAAGGGCGTCCCGAGAGGTAAACATGTTATTCGACTTGCCACACGGTTACAGCAACATACAGCATCTGACCACTCGCGCTTCTTTCCTAGCGGAACCCTATATACAGCACGGATAGCGATGTATTCTTTCAGGCATGAGCTGCATGGACATATAGTCAAGAACTCTTTCCGGCAAAAGGCTTGCTCACGTAGCGCGCTGCGTTGCGAAGGCTATGTTGGCCTGCGCTAAACATTTTGAATAGCTCCATTTCTATTTTCTTATTTGTAACCCAAGAATTGCCGTTTATACAAAGTTTCAGATAGGGTTTTTGAGAAACCCCCATTTCAGAATTTCCTGGTCTCGTTCATTCGCTGTCCTGTACACGAGGACCCAGACGGCTCAAGCTGGTCATAACTCTGGTTATCAGCCACTTGCAGACCCTGGCAGAGAAAGCAAATCCAGTTGTTGCGCACATCAAAATCATTCAAATGGCCTGAAAAAGGGGGGGGCCTTCGTGACACTGCACAGCAACTGAGCTCTCGGCTTCCAGGGGCATTTGCAGAACGAATTTGGCGAGCATGAACAGCTCCGGCTCGCCACCCCAAGTCCCAGAGCGCGACATCCTACACACTTGGAGAAGCGGGTTGGCTGCTCTAGTAAGCACCTTGCCCAGAGAGCAGGGGGCCAAAAAACGCACCACCTACGGTAGCAGAAAACCCAAGGCCTGGCAACGTACTTGTCGAAGTCACCTTCGACAATGAAACCCAGGTCCTGTCAAATACGTTGCCTCTAGAAATCTCGACCCCACAACCTCTGTCCCGCACTGGTGGGGCCTCACGGCGATTAATCAGCTCGGCAACTGCCAATGCTCGCAGCTCCTACGCCAAGAAGGACAAATGTTGAAGAAATCTTGAGGCACAAAGCTGCACGGCTGCCCGCACCCTGCAGCGCCGAGATTCTTCTTCTTCCGGCAGATCTGGAATCTGCTTTGCAAAGGCCTCACCTGGCATCTCGGCACCAGGGCTTGGTTTCCATAGCCGCGCATACCGAAAATTCTGGTCATTCGGAAATATTGAGGCCGACTGGCCGGGTGAAAAGGAAAGGTTATTTGCACAATGACACTTTTCCTGCTTGTGGATAACCTTCCACATTGCCTTTCTAGGCAGCGGGGCTGCTAGCACATTGGTAGTCCAATAGGTGGCTTGCCTGAGGGCCTTCGCCAGCTACGGTAGGGAACTGCATGTGCAGCTCTGTCATGGAAAAAGGCTTGAAAGAGGCTGCAACAACAAAGATAGCAAAGGCAAGTCCTACATATCCCGAATGTTTGGCCGCCACGCCTTACAAGAAACGTCTTACGGTCGATCACTTCTGGCAGGTGATACTTCCCGCCTTGGGCGACCGCACGAAACAGGCAGTTGCCATCAGGTCGGACCTGCACCAGACCTGACATTTGTTCAAAAGTAGCTCTCGCCTCTTTCTGACATGGCAAGGTCACTTCTGGTGCTTTTTGCAGGCAAGGCACGCCAGCCCGGGACCTTCATTGGCTCGGCTCCCTGCAGCATGCCAGGCTGAATCTCTGACAAAGATGCAGGCAGGAGAGAGAGGGGCTGCTACGCCCAACAGCAGAAAGCTTCCTGCTACACGACTCCTTCGGGCACTGACCCTTGCAGGTAAGACGGAGGCTAGATTCCTCCGAGCTACTAGTACTGTATCTCAAGGCAGCCCGAATCTTCGTGTTGTGACTCATCACCAGACGACGCAAAACTAAGCTCGCTGCCATGCTCGCGGCCGCCTCAGACAGGAAGGCCTGTCAAGCAAGCTGCATGTGCACGGGCGGGCAGCAATGCACCGAAGGTCAGCAGTATTATCTGACGTGGTTCGGGGAAGTTACTCAACTATCTCAACTTAAACTCATCCAAACAGGCCAGCTGCGCAAGGCTACCAGAGAGGCAGCCGGTGAGGACGGCATCTCAGCGCTGAAGGGTTCTGAGGCGCTTACAAATGCACGATCCTCTACGGCTATACCGAGTGTGGCTGAGCTCTGGGCTGCGGGACTTTGGGGACGGGGACATTTGCTTGGCTTGCTTGGCCATGCGGCGGCCAGCGTAGGCCATCCTCAGCTTCCCAAATCTCCCGAGACCCCACGGCATCCCCTAAGGAAAACAGAATTGCGGCAGATTGCGGCCCAGCGGCAGGTGGGAAAACCTGAAGGCAATCAGCGCATCCAGACCCGAGAAACACGACATACTTGAGCGAAGCCAGCTGGTTGTCAGCTGCTGCCCTTAGTTGGATGTCAACTTGAGCCCGTTCCTGCGGAGACCGGCCGGCCGAGTTCGCTTGCCTACCCTGTCTCACTTCGGCCGATGTTCAATGATGAAGCCGGCAGCTGAGAAAGAACTTCTTGATTCTCATGAGTCTATCAGTACAAGCAATCACTTGGCAGCAGTTGGCGAGGCAAAGGACCCCAGAGATGAGTCTGTCCCTCATGAACTGCGCATTTGAAGCACAGGAAGCCAAGCGTTGTGAATCGCCACAGCGGTGCATGAATTGCCCTCCCATCTGTTGAGAACGAATGGGAACTACGTCGAAGGACCCTGCGGCCATGATCTCTTCGTGTCTGCATTACGTGGCATACAGGTCCCAACGGGGCTGAACCCCAGAGCAAACGCAAGAACCCCTGGTTTGCGTGAAACACCCAGCTCCGCCTCAGACAAGTGGCGTCGACCTCATGGGCATGTGCAGCATCGCTTTATGCGAGACTGAATGTGCAAAACGGCATTGTGAAGCCCATGTGTGCCTAAGAAAAGGAAGAGCTTGGCAAGCCGCTATTTTCAGTGGCGCGGGATCTCCTCTGGTCTGAGCACACAGGGCCAAAGCCAAAGCGATGGCTGGGCCGATGGATGCAAGCGCATGTTCCAACGTCTTCGACGGGTGACCATGCAATTCGGCTAAATCCTGGAAACTACAGAGCCAACTGCTCTGTTCAGAGGTTTTGCGGTCCATTAGCAGGGGGTGCGCAAGTGCAGGCAACATTAGCAGACTGGATGGATGGCTCAGGTGAGGGTTGTCAAAAGCACCCCTAGGTGTCTCTTTGACAAACACCGTTTTCATCGCTGCGGATGAGCAAGAAGGACGGGCAGCTTTGCCGCAACAAGCAAGACCTATCTGCCAATGTCTAGTACAACTTTAGCATTATCATTTTACTACTACCTGCGCTACTATTATTGTTACTATCTTTGTTAAAAGCATTTCTTCTTCATTGCCCGAGGCTTGCGTATGATGCGCAGCTCCAGGGACATCTGCAGCGGCTAGTCCTTATCTCTGTGAAAGGTAATGTAATAACAGTCATAATAGCAAGTAAGACTAGCAAAAGCATTGCAATAAATGCTAGATGTTTTAAATGCTGATATTCTAGACTTATTGGCATTGTTCCTGTTACTATTCACAGTATGACTAGTATCATTGCTATTCTTATCGTTCTCAGTCAGCACAAAGTATGGCTGCTTCGATCTGCAGCCGATGTCATGTACCTGCTTGATCCTTGGGCGGCTGCAACCTGTCAAGGGCCTCGGAACCCTTCTCTAAGATGACACGTGTCAAACCATGCAGGACAGTAGGGTTTAGGCCCCAACACTGCCAAGCTGCCGCCTGGCCTGGAAGGACCTGGGAAAGCCTGTCGAAGGTGTTCAGCTTCAAGTCCTCCAGTGTGTACCTTGCAGCATCACCACTCACTGCTTTCACAAAATGATCGCACCTTTCGATTTCTCAAAAAAGTGTTTGCTGGTTCCCGGGCAGCTTGGCTCTCTTGAATGCATGCAACTGCATGCCAAGTATCTCAGCCGCAGAGAACTCATCAGCAGAGAGCATATCGGATGCAGTAGCCTCTTCCAGATGGGCGACCTCAAGATGGCGTGATGCTGATGATGATGACGATGGTGGATTTCTCCCAAGTCAGAGGGCGGATTGTTGTCCATCAAGCAGTAGCTAACACAGGCAAGAACTCCAACGGCTCGCGCGCTCTTTGATTACAAAATCTCATAGTTCCGGGCAACAATGTCTCATCTGCAGCTTGAACTTCCACGTACGATCTCATTTCATGCCCCTGTGCAAACTGCAACCCACCCGCGATGCAAACCATTTCGGAGCTTGATTGAGTCATTGACATGCGGCAAGCAATTGCAGACACGGTGCCGGCCGACTCTCCTCCAACAAGATTGTCCTTAAACATCGATGACTACACAAAAGCCTTCTGTTTATGCTGTGCCGATCTACTGCGCAGGAGTAACCGCATAGGCAAGCAGCATAAGGGCTTTGTTGAGCTTTCCTTGCACCACCTCTTTATCGAAGCTGAAACCTCAGCAGTGCGCTTAGCGCCTATGCAGTCAGAGTTCACGGCGTTGCGGTGTCCGTAGTTGCTCTGGGATAATGCGTTCTCATGAAAATCTTGCTGGGCAAAGTGAGAATTTATCAGCATTTAATCAGAGTGATTGCCCAAAGCCACTGGGCGGAGACTACAGGGTTTAGGGACGCCTGTCATGCGCTTCACGAGGAGCCTGTCTTCAGGTAGGGATTGTCCAGCTCGGCCGCCAGTGTCAGAAGTCCCCACATGGCGAAAACCTGCAAAAGCCCCAAGGAGCTCCTTCACAAAGCACGGTTTGCATCTACAAGGTGCAGTGGAATCTGACATCTGGATCAAAAGATTTGCATGCTCAATCTAACTGGGGCGCGGGCTAAAAGCATGCTAAAGAAGCCTGCGAAAGCGATGGTCTGCGCCCAGCCGATGACGGCAACGGGCGTCAAAAACATGTAGATGCAAAGCATAGCCTCGCATGGCTCATGCTGCGAAAGAAACACTCAGCTGCATGACGGCAGCTGAGCTCTTGCTCGGCGCATTATGCAGGCAGCACTAGCACTTGGACCTTTTCATCGCAAGCGCGCCTTGAGAGCGAACAAATACGGTGCCGGGAAATCCACAGTGCCCAGTCGCATAGCTGCATGCATCTTGCTCCTGCTTCACGCAGCATACATGCAAGACGATTGATTTGACACTAGCCCTACTGTGAAATGTCAAATCCGCGGACCCTCATCGAGTTCGTCTGATACTGTACTTGATCTTGGGGCGAAGCCACATGATCTCGTTCATCATGCTGGAGTATACGCATGTAAATTTGTTAAGTCAATAACGTGGCTCAACCGCTTCACTGTGGAGACCCTGACCCTGTCATACCCTATCATGTTCCCGGAGGTACGCTCATCCTGGATGCAAAAATACTTACCGGGCTAGGCTTCTTCCATCTTACTCATAAATGCGGCCACTCACATCTTGCCACCGTCAGAACAGGCTAAACCCCATACATTGTAGAATGCAGCGAAGTCTCATGCCCAGGCCCATCTCATGGTACACACGGCTCACGACAGGGGGCGGAGCGGCCATTACACCATCATTGATTGCCCGCATCATGACCTGACACAAGCCGGCAGAAGCCATGTCCAAACGCCATAAGAATCCAAGACTGAGAGCTGGCCTACCCTCTGCCTTCGCTGCTCAAGAAGCGGGAAGTCAAGGAGAGAGAACTACACCCGGGTTCACTGGGCCTTGCTGATCGCATGGTAGACCTGCTCTGGTCGACTGCGATCCTATGGCAAGAAGCTTTTTTTGAACAGCTCTCCGTGATGTAAACCTCTCTGAAACATCTATCCCCACCAATGCGTCCGTGGATGCAGGAAATCTCGCACCACTTAGACTTCCTAAGACCTTGCAATTCTTGAGGTGTGGGGTCTACTAGGTAGCGCAAGATTTCCTGCATTCACAGTTCCACCCGCCGATTCCTTCGGATGCAGAACAGAAAAGCGCGTCTGCTTGTCCAGGCGGGAGAGGTCAAGCACGGTAAAGTTGAGCTTGCCTGGGACGCAGACTAAGAGGAGCTGGCGTTCTATCATCTGAAACATGGCGCGGGACCCTCAAAAGGGATCCAAGCCCCCAGTGAATGCTTGGAATAAGGTGCTCCCACTCTAGCAGAGCCAGCCAGCTTTCCAAAATGTGAGGCTGTCGGGTGCCTTTGAAGGGTCTAGGTTGCTGTGGTGGAGCTTATTTTGTCTCGCTAAGTTACCATAATGGATATGTATGTGTATATATATATACATATGAAGGTGTATATATATATGTAACAAACAATATGGTTCCCCCTGCATGGTGCAAATGCTAATATGGACCAGCAGGAAAAGCCAGCATTTGTGTTTCAGCCCAGCTGCCGGCACGCACCTCAAGGCCCTCTAGCTCCTGAAGCACCACGCAATTCCTCAGGCGCCCCAGGGTTTAGGATTGACTGCCTTCTAGGTTGGAAGCTCACGTTGCAACATTCCAGCCTGTGTACCCCGCTAGACAAAAACTGTCTTACCTCCAGACACATTTGGGGCTTCTGCTTGGAATGTCGTGGAATAAGGAGCAGATGGCCGGCACGAAATCAGACACCAGTACCCCCAGTCAGACAAGGTTCAGCAAGCTGAAGAGTCGCCTGTCCGGGTGCAGCTACCGGGAAAGCAGAGTCCACAAAGTCTGAGTAAAGCAGGAGATACCACGAAAACTGCTACATAGTGCTACCGAGGCACACCACAAGCTGATGAAAATCATCCACGTCCTTCGCGGAGGCTTTGGAATTCGGTGCCCGCGTAAAGGCCAAGGCATTGCTCGCTGCATTAAACCTGCCAGGCCAGATGATTCGCCTCGCGCTTTGCCAAGTCCATGTATGATAAATGCTGCTTCCAAGGAACCAGTGGCCCATGATCTCGTAGACCATATCGATTCCCTCCCAGAATCGGCCATAAGATTGCGCAGTGCGGAAGACAATCCTTAAGGGGAAGCAGACTGCTAGCAGCATCGAGGCCCACATGACTTCTGTCTGTGGAAACATGGTCAGCTAGAAGCTAGAAACAGTAATGTGACGAGCTCCATCCACTGAGGCTAGCAAGCCCGTACTCCGGAAACAACTCAATGAGGATAAAGAAATAGCTGAGCAACTAATAGTGCAGGGCGCAGGAAATCAGACAGTATTCGTAACAACTGGCACTGGGAAGAAAAGATGTCGCCGTCAGATGCCATTTCATCACTAATTCTTCATTGTTTCGACTGGCTGGTTACTGCATGCTGTGCTTCGTGCACCTACGGTCATCTGACGAATGATACAACAATTATGGCCAGTTTCTTAGCTTCAACTTTGACCAAGGATCAGAAAACCAAGGCAAGTTCCAAAGGTGCCGAAAGCAGTGGGGTCAAAAGCCTGACCGGGAGAAGCATCTGTTGGTGCATGTCAGAGAGCCAGCTTACGTTATCTTATTCACCTTATGTTGCAGTTAATGTCACTGAAGTTCAGGACAAATCTTGTCATGGGGTGTCTGTGACAGCGCTGGCAGTATCAGGTCTATGCAAAATGCGTGCTCGCCAACCGAGGTATCCAAATCCTTTTCCCTAAACCTTAAACCAACCATAAACCCTAAACCAACCCTAAACCCCAACCCCAAACCCTAAACCAAGGCACGATATTTTTCTCGATCCACCCCTCGGTGTCCACGTAACTCTGGACAGCCTTCAGCGTGGCCCCCATCCTCGCTTTGCAAGCAGGGATTCGCTGACGCGACACCGAGATGAGCCGTAGTCTGAACTCCTAGCATCCCCCCTACCACCCAAACATATGGCTTTGCTTTGGGTTCAGGGCTTAAACTACTGGTATCCCATGTATAAACAAGCCCTGTAATGCTCCCTCTGCATAATACCCTCTATCAATATATACATATATATATATATATGTAACCCCCTTTAAGGAGTTCAGACTGTAGCTCATGTGAGGGGGCAGGCGAACAGCTCGTAGCCGCTTTAGGAACTGCAGCGAAGGCTCGTCCCAGAGAAGATCCCTGCCAGCAACGGGTATGAGACCTGATCAATATAAGATAGTATAGCCATATGAGATATTCAAGTATGATACAATCTAATATTAGTATAATCTACTATGGTATAATATAATATAGATAGTATAATATAATATAGCATAGTAGAATATCATCTAGTATAACATAATGGGTATGAAGTGGGGTGCTGGGAAGCGGTGGCATCCTCGCAGCCTTGCAAAATCCCTAAGCAACATTGATGGCAGCTCGGCTCTGTATCGAACACCAGGCCAAAATGGTAGTTTACCAAAAAAGGGGGACCCCAATATAGACCCCAAAATATTGTAATCCTTATTATTGGGACCTGAAAAAGGTACCCCTAATTTTGGGAAACTTTAAACCACTGTATCCCCAGTTTCCATTTCATTTTCCATGTTATTTTCCATTTAATTCTCCATTATTGGGCATTATGTACCCTAATTTTGGGAAACCCCCAAATCTTTTAAAATCGGTACTTGCTGAGCCCCACCTTGCAGCACATCTGCTTGCGATCCATGGTGGCGCCACGCGCCTGTACACCTGTTGCCTGAGCTGATCCTACTGGGGTTATATAGGGTATTTGTTGGGGTTATATAGGGTATATATTGGGAACAATGGGTTACTGGTGGTTATATAGGTACCCATTGGGGTAATATTAGGGTAATGTAGCTACCCATTGGGGTAATATTAGGGCAATATAGCTACCCCTTGGGGTAATATTAGGGTTATGTATAGTAACGGGTCGCACTACACGCGATGTGCTCGTTCTTAACATCTTCAGCGCGAAAGTATCTGCATGCGAAGCAAGCCAAGGCACTGCGGACACTCGACCAACAACATGGCTGACGCGGCCCATTGCATTGGGCTGAGCGCCCTTTGCTGCTCAATCGCCGTCAGGAAAGATCCATGCACATGCCTGCAGATTGGGTCAGACGGGTTGGGTGGGTCTTTTGCCGCAGCTGATGATGCGTGGCGGATAGTGGTGGGCGACGATTTTCTAGCCGTGTTTTCTGCGATCATGATACCTACTTGAGCCATATGGCTACCAGTCAACATCAAATCTGCAATCCATCAGCCGGAAAATTCCGGCAGCTTCTTGACGGCCGCCGCCAGAAGTCTTTATCTCTGAATTTGTTGCGGACAGATTGGCCAACAAACTTGAGCCCTTCTGGGGCACCAGCCACGCAATCATCCGGCCGCTCTGAGCAACAGCATGGGCCTCAACATCTTGCAAATGGCATCGTTAGGACACGTGCTGTGGATGATCTTCTAGACTTTGAAGCGTCATGAGGTTGTGATGAATTCTGATGATATGTTGAAGTCCTTCAATGTTGCCATGCCCCCACAGGAACACATCACCCTACACCTGTCTGAAGAGCGGACATCCACAAGTTCCCTCTAATGATTCCACACCTTACCCCTGTTTGGCACTACTGTACCAGCTTCAGGAGAGAAGTCTCATCGCGAAGCAGTCTCCCTTTTGAGTGCAACAAGATGCTGAGGCCTCAGCCCTCTTTTGCTGCTTCGCTGCCTGTTCCTGAGCTCAATAAGTGATGGGTTTGTAAGGTGAGCCAACCCTCTTCCCATTTATACATTTTCGCTGGGTACTGTGTGGACTTGGAGCTCAGGGATGTTCAGGGTCAGCCACAGCATACCTTCAAGCTTGATTCAACCCCTATAATTTCTTAGATGATCCCAGTTTCCATTTCATTTTCCAAGGGGTATATGATCCAGGCACAAGCCATTCCTGGCTCAGACTAACTTTCTTCTGACCTCACCAAAGCTCCGAGATGCAACCTTTCTGCACAATTCCGAGAAAGCTCGTTTTGATCAATTTGGCGCGTGAGTTTAAGGCTTCGATTGGAGCTGCTGCTGGCGGGATGCTTCGGATACCTCAACAAACAACCCTATGGGGCTTGCTTACCCATCATGCTGGCCAAGATGCGCTCGATTGCCGAGGAACAGTCCGTCCTCCTCCTCATCATCTGCAGAGTGTCGCATCTGGTGGCGGCCGACCTCACACAGCCAAAGCTTCACTTTCGTTGATGCTTTAAGTGTTGCAGGCAGGCTCGCCACACCCAGTCGGGTTCATTTTGCTGGGAACATCGGACAGCGACAGCCAGAGGTTTGCTCGGCACACTCCGCTGTAAGGTCGACTTACTTTGTAGGAGAATGTGGCTTGACTTGGTATTGAGACCCAAGGGCGTGCACATAGTGCGTCACACCACTGCGTGCTGCATCTTGATGAAGCAAAACACCACTCTCAGTTAAAAAGCCCCCCTTTTGGTCAACAAACAGTCACCTGCCCACGTGCGCGGCCCCAAGAGCGGTGTCAAGATCTAAGAAGGTCCCATCCCAACTTGCCTTGGCCACCTTGGACTTCAGCTTCTGATTCTCCTTGTCCTGCAGATAACAGTAGCAATAGCAACAGTAGTTGTAAAAATAATCATAGCAGTAACATTCATAAACAGAAATAATAACAGTAAAAAAGAACAAGAACAATAATGATAGTAGTTATGATAATCATAAGCATTGTTATCATTATCAGAGCAGCAAAGATCAGTTCCAAAGTGGGGTTGGTTGTCGTGGGGTCTTTTGCGGGGGTCTGTCGCATGACCGGTCTTCATCGGTCTTCTGTTCCAGTACAAACCCAAAGCTTTCAGGCCGCTTCCGTATAGGGATATGGGGGGCCCAATAGAAGGTTAAAACAATGGGGAAGTGGAAACTACCGCATATGCGAATTGCACTTGTGTGCATATACGGGTGGTTGTCAAAATTATGGTCCTTTTTTTGGATGCCTAGTATAATGCGGCACCTAATATTTAGGGTACCCAAAAAGAGACCATAATTTTGACAACCACCCATGTGTACAGAGGCATATTTCCCCAGTTGAAGCTGCTTTTGAGCTTCAGCTGTGTCGGTCAAGCCATCCTTTGACCGTGGTGCTTTTACCTAACTCGAACAGTTTGAACCTAGAAAACCAAGGCATTTTTTTGATGAGAAGAAATCATGTGTCAGCAACATGTCATGTTATGGAAAAATATTGGACTGGTAGGAGTAGCAACGAAGGTGGCGAGATTCATGAGGCCATTGGGCGCCCAATTTGAGGGTGTATGTATGCCAAAATGCAGGACCAATAAAAGATTGTCCACGTACACGTCTTTCTTTACGTTTCTTTATCTTTCCTTATGCTCCTCTCTGGTTGCTAAACTTTCCTTACAGTCCTTCATGGATAGGTTTAGGAAAGATAAGTAAACAAAATGTGGCTTCCCATGTCATCATGGCAACAAAAATATAGTTGTGGTGCCTGCAGGGGGTATGCATGCTCAAACGAAAAAGTCGTTGATAGTCGTTGAATGGAGTGACGCCGCGAAACCTACGCAAAGACTACCGGCAGGGTTTTCCGACGCTGTGCTTCCGAAGGCACTTCCGCGGACGTTTTCGTTTAAGGTGCTTCCGCGGCGCTTCCGCGAAAGGGATTTCTAGTCTTCGGCGTTTTCTGTCCAAAGCGCGAGCGTACATTGAGCGCGAACTTATTTAAAAGGGCGGGGTTGGGGCTGGCCTTAGAGGGTTGAAACCAAAGGCGGTCACTCGGTAGCTTATTCAAAGGGGAGTTGGGCTGGTTAGAAAGGGTTCAAGCCAGAGGCGGTCACTTCGGAATTGGTACTATGGTAAAGAAGGAGTGGCCAGGTACTCCCAAACCCATCCCGTAGCTTGCGCGGAGCTTCCGCAAAATCCCCGTCAGTCATTGGGTCCAGGGACCTGATCCCGGGAAAGAATCTACGCGATGGCCCCCTTATTATTGCCAGAGAACAACTTTAGCGACGAAGTGCGTGGGATTTACCGGCTGCGGCGTGTCCAGCGCCCAACCAAGAATTTGTTAGGGCTTTGCAAGTACGAGGGGATCTTCATTTTAGGTTTTAGGGTTGTTGGGGCCAGCACATCATGGCGAAAAAAGAGCTTCCGCAAGAGCTTCCGCAAGCGAAGTGCTTAAGCAAGCGAAGTGCTTAGGCGAAAGCTTCCGCGAAAGCTTCCGCGCGCAGTGTGGGAAGCACTTTTCGGAAGTTGTCGCCAGCCGGTTTTCGACGTTATTTCCGTATCTAATGAACTTTCCTCTAGCGCCTATTTTTGCTAACTGCTCGTCTGCAACGTAAGAGCAGCATTTTGGAATGATTCAATGGCATCAGAAAGGCCAGGCCAGAGGCCATGAGAAGCAGGCCCATTTCAGGATGTCTCCAAGCAGGGTTCCCGCTGCTAAGGTAGAATAGGATCTTTTGTTGAGGGGCCCCAAATAGGTAAACCAGAATCTTCAGAAATCACTTATATAACCCTATATTAACCCCTATATAACCCATTGTAGTAGTTTCCATTTTCTTTTCCATTATCCCTATATAACCCCTACATTACCCTAAACCCTGGTATACTTTGGTGAATCGATTCCGGCCTCCTCCTCGCGGCGCTTCTGGCGCTGGTGTCGGAGCCAGGCGCACTCGCGTCGCTCTGCGGCCTTGGCGGCAGCCCAAGACAGTACTGGACAGCGTTTAGGGTATAGGGTTGTATAGGGTTTAGGGTATAGGGTTTAGGGTTTAGGGTTTAGGGTAGAGGGTTTAGGGTAGAGTTTTGTTTTTTTTTTGGGGTATAGGGTTTAGGGTATAGGGTTTAAGGTATATGCAGGGATTCTGAGGGCGTTTACTTGGGGATGTTGCTTCAGGACTATTTGGGGAAATCGAAAATCGTCCATCAGGAGATGTGCCCACGAAATATCGACATTCGCCCAGCCACAGGCCTGTGAAACGAGGGGTCTGGCTCTGGGGAGATCTGGAGCTCCCCAAATTAGGGTTGTATAGAGTTATATAGGGATAATGGAAAAAGAACATGGAAGCTACTGTTTAGGGTATGAGGTTTAGGGGAGTTTCCCAAATCAGGGTCCCATGTGGCACCCCTAAGTATTACTGTAGGTGCCGTAGTAGCATCTAGAAACCGAAGGGGCCCATCATTTTGAGGATACCGCAGATGTTCTATAAGGAGACTCACAGATTTCAAGCTCAGGAGCAATTGAGACATCTCTGAGGGGTTGGCTGACATATTCGCGTCCTCCTCGCCTTCCTCCTGAGACCCCTAAACCATAAACCCGAACCCCTAAAGCCCTAATCCCTAAACCCCACAGCACGGAACCAGGCATGAAAAAGATGTAGTGATCTTTGGACGGGGTGTGATTGAGTAATTAGAACAATGGGGATTCCAGAATTGGGTCCCTTTCTGGATTTTATACTACGTTGAGATCTATATTGGGGCTCCCATTTCCGGAACCCCCCCATGCTCCAAGTGTCGTTCCACAAGGGGTTGACCCTAAGTATATACTACATACCTACATGAGCCATTGTCTAGACTCCTAGTATTCCCCTTGATATCCTCTATAATACTCCCCCATATTAATGTAATCCCCTAATCCCCTTTAAAAATTAAGGAGTTTAGATTATGGCTCACATGGACCCTTGGATTTGAAGCTGGTCTGTGCACGGCGCACCTCGCTGCTGGGCGGCTGAGCATCCCACGAGGCATCGGGACCAACCTTCAAAGATTCTCTCTATTAGGAGTAGTAATTACAACCATTATTGTTAATATCATTCTTATTGTTGGTGGCGGTGGTGGTGGGTGGTGGGTGGTGGTGGTGGGTGGTGGTAGGGGTGGTTGGGGTGGTTGAGGGGGGTGGTTGAGGGGGGTGGTTGAGGGGGGTGGTTGGGGGGTAGGTGCGGGTGGTTGGGGGTGGGGGTGGGGGTGGGGGTCGGAAGGGGGTGGGAATTGGGGTGGCGGCGACTGTTATAATGATGGGTATCATCATGATGCAAATTGCTATTATTACAAAAATGCTATTGCTTCAAGTGTTGCTCATCCTTGCAACCCGCATTCCTCCATTTAGCCAGAACATTAGGCTCTAGCCCGCAGAATGCAAAACTGAATAAGTCCCAAGCTACGACATGCTACGACCTACTTCGAACGGGAGGGGTCAACGCCAGGCTTGGCAACAAAATCTCCACAAGTCTTTTGGCCGGAAAGATGTATTTGGTGGCTTCCCCGCCATTGTTCGAGCTGGCAACCACCCCGGCCCTTGAGACATGCATCAGAAGGTCGCTGTCAGGCCTTCAGTGCTTCCGATGTGGCTTGGTGCTCCAAGGTGTCAGCAGGCTTATCTTCACTGACCTTCCCAAGCGATGGGGAAGCCGGCATAAGCCAGCCAGGACTGTCCAGCTCCACATTTCCCCGCCTCCGCATCACCTAGCACTACCTCGAAAGGCTGAGTCGCCGAAAGATCTGCAGGCAGGCGACTAAAACTGCTGCCAGCGTGTCATCAGTCAAATGCAAATGACGCAGACGCAGCCCGCCTACATCTTCGCCAGGCCTCAGCAGAGAAAGAGCGTTTCAGGGTTTGAAGGGCACTTAGCCAGGTAAAAGGCATGGCTCAGCCTTGCAATCACCAAGTGCAGTCCCTTTCTGCTTTCCCTTTCGCAGCCAAGTTACGCCTCGTGCGGGCCTGACAGGAGATTCGAATCATGTGGGCAACAACTGGTCAAGTTTGCCACCAGGGCATTGGCGGCACTAGTCACTAGCTCTGACAACCTTTTATGATCATTTCAATGCTCGGTGTTGTGGCAGTGATTTCGCAGATTGCTGCAACATTTCACATTCAGTACCCATCAGACGACCAAGGCGAGGAGACGCCAGCATCTTCAAGTCATGATCGGCTAGCAGCCCTGTGCTCCAAATGTTGTGGCCTTTCTCCGCTGGCTCCAGGATGACTTCAAAGGGCAATGTCGCGCTGACGTCCAAGTCATCTGGCAGCATTTGACAACACAATGGCAGAAAAAAACAACGCTAGTGATGATGAGAGAGTGACACCGCAAACCAATCGTTTCTACCTAAGCCCTTGGTGCGAGTCTAGTCGGGCTGATTCTTGCTAAGTGTACTCGGCAGCTTCCCAAAAAATAATATAGACCCCAAAATACTATAATCCTTACTATGGGGACCCACCAAAAAATGTGCCACCACACCCCCCATTTCCCCTAAACCCTAAACCCAGGAAACCATTCACTTGTGAACCTCAAAGGTTGGAGCCTCCTGGAGGTGCTGCAACCTGTGACACCAGGCCTGGCATGACAGGGTTTCCCAAAAGTAGGGATACCTTCAAGCCGGATAACAGGGGCTAAATAGGGGTTATATAAGGCTTAAGGTTGAGGGTTTCCCAAAATTCGGGGTATATAGGAATATATACACCTCGAGAATGGAGAATCCAATGAAAAATGACATGGCAAATGAAATGGAAACTGGGGATATGTAGTGGTTTAAAGTTTCCCAAATTTAGAGTTACTTTTTTGGAGGGTCCCCATGATTATAAGGATTGCAGTGCATCGGGGTCTTTAATGGGGTTACCCCTAGTTTGGGAAACTATCATACAAAGCCAAACTCTAAAGCCTCCTATCAGCTAACGCGAATCTAAGCGTACAGCAGCCCCGGTGTCCTTCGTCTTTGGCGATTGCAGTCTCCAGATCCGGCGATGGAGCCTTGCCTAAGATACAAGTAGCATCTCCGCGTATGAGCTATATAGTCCAAACTCCTAGCATCCCCCTTATAACCCCTATAATGCTCCCCTACATAACCCCCTATATAACCCCCTGTAGGGAGTTTAGCCTATAGCTCATATGCCGCAGAGCTTTGGTATGCAGTTGCACTTTCTGCAGCGGCCTTCTGCGGGGACCTCGTCGGTGGGAAGTTCTGTGACGTCTCTGCCCAAAGAGCTTGCACCTGAAAGAGCTGCGCCACTTGCCGCAAGCGGACATAGTCCAAACTCCTAGTATACTCCCCCTTTATACTAACCCCTATTATACTCCTTTATATAACCCCCTATAAAACCCCCTCTAAGGAGTTTAGACCCTGAACCCTCAACCCTCTGTATTCCCCAAAATAACCTTCCTCCCTTCTGTGGAACTCCAAGCCGGGAGCTCGGAGGGCAGAACACTTCAACTGAGCAGTGCTTTTTCGGGTGGTTGAAATATATTCAAAATTGAATACTAACCCTAAACCCTTAAAACCCTAAACCAAACGAGGGTATAATCTGACTCCATGTTACCATCGTATCCCAGGTAAACTACTACTCAACTGAGGCTGAGGCCGGCTTCAAGGTGCGGAGTAGCTGATGCCTGGCAGTCTTGGAGGTCCGGAGGCGGGCCGAAGAGCCTTTAAACCACCGCCCATGGTCGAAAAGGTGTTGGACCCTAAACCCTAAACCCCTAAAACCTGAACCTCTAAATCCTGAACCCCAAAAACCCGAACACCTAAAACCCTAAAACCCGTATTCAAACCCTAAACCTCTGTTTCTTTTCCCCTCACCCTAACATGACCCCGTGACACCAACTAGCTACAGCTTGGTAGTCTTTCCCCCTTACTAGTAGGTATAACCCATAAAACTGTAGGTAACTGAGGTTACAGGACGGGCCTCAAGATCTGCAGTTTCAGACGCCGCAGAGCCTGGTTTGAGGCCAAAAAATAGCAAGTGACGTGACAAAAGGGTTAAGATGGGTAAAGGCTTACCTTTAAAAAGGTGGTTATATGGGGATAATGGAAAAGACAATGAAAACTATTACTTAGGGTGGGTCCAGGGTTTGGGGATTAGGGTTGGAGGGTTTCCTGCCAGTCCTGCCAGTCAAGCACTCTCATCCGACACATCGAGAAGCCGCACCGAAGCCATGCCCTATACCCTAAGCCCCCAAACCCTACAACCCAAGATACTATGTAATGGTTTCCATGTTGTTTTCCATCTTCCCTATCTAACCTATATTACCCTTTGGTATACCAATAATACGGCATCTATAACGGGGTTAAAAAGGGATAATGGAAAATGGAAACTACTACGGTATATGTTCAAACATTCAGGACCAAGCCTGCCACTGCAGGCAATGTAGCTGCTTCTGCTTCTGGCGGTGCTGGGGCAGCCATGCCTGCACTTGACCCTGCTCGGTTCTTCAGCGGCGTTGGTTCCGACATGTCCAGGCACAGAAAAACAGTTCCCACTCAGTGCGGCTGGCCTTCAAGACTTTCTAAGCCTGTCCAAAATGCTGTGTGATCTAGCCTCCCTTGAGCAGTGTCAAGCCCATGGACCTTTTGATCAAGCCCATTTCCCTGGACGCTTACCGAACCCCCAATGAAAACTCAAGCATCCGGAGCCTGAAGCCATGACAGCAGCTTCAGCAACCTGCGTTGCAGCTAGCCCATGCTGAGAAACAATCTGGGTTGCTGTTAAGGAACTTAGTTTAAGTTACTATATTGGCGAAACCCGATTATTTACTACATTTTCCCATTATGGTAACTTAATTCAAGTTCCTTAACAGCAACCCAGCAATCTGCAGAAATTGGGGGGAACTCACATGGGGGACTAGGCAACAGCTTGCAAATATTGACCTGCTTTGGTGTTTTGATAAGCTTCCGGGAGGGCCTCCAGGTTCCTGCTAAATTCAACTGAGCAGGCCTTGATACATTGGGGCCTGGGAAACTGTAATTGGATGCTCGTTGCGGAGAAGAGCCGCTACATAACCGAACTTTTTTCAGGAGTGTCGCTGAAGAATAGTTCTGCAAGTGCAAGACTTGATTTGGCCCTCCAGCACATGCCTGCCATCGTGAGCTCCAATCCTGTATCCCCTGAATGTTCGCTTGGTGACGCTTACATAGACCCCTCCCCGCACCTCTTCGGCTTCAGGGGCCTCAGCAGCAGCTGCGCTTGGTTCCGCACCTGGGAAGTTCTGCAAGATGCGCAGGGGAGTTTGCGGATCCTTCTTGCAGTGAGAAAGGCGCACAACCAACAGTTGATCTTCGGCGCCTGTCTGGTCCTTCTTTGCCTTGGCTATCTTGTCTGCCAACTTGTCCGCCAGCTTGTCAGCCTTTTTTTGCTTCACACATATACCAAGCTGATAATATGAGCACTAGAAGAACGCCTCAGCAAGCCCTGGCGACTTTCCGTTGGACAGCGATGCCGAAGACAGTGAGCGAGTTGCCTCTGTAGATTCGGTATTGCTGAACATGTCAAACAATCACCGCACCTCTGAATGGTGTGTCAATGTGAGCCCTGGACTAAATTTCTAGTATATCCCTGACTAGGTCCCCCCAAAACCCTATACAGTCCCCTATAAGTCCCCCCAACCTAAATTTAGTCCGTAGCTCATGTGTGCCGGCAGCTGGCCTTGGCATTGAGGACCTCGGCCTGCTTGAAGGATACGGAGCCTCAAATGCTGCGCGCGCAAGGTTGAGATTCAATATGATTCGGTTGTGGAAAGCTCTCCAAGGTACAAACCTACGGGGGTTAGTAGGGAATAAGGGAATATGCGCTGCAGGGAATAGGTTCCCCCTTATTCTTACAAAGAACCACTAAGAACAAAATCTGCTGAGGGTCGCTGAATGGTCTCCCGAAGCAGGGCGCGCTTCTTGTCGGAGCTCTTCGCGCTGTCTGGCAGGTCCACCTGATCGGCTGGAAAAAGCTGAGCGAGCCCACATCCATTTACTTGCATAAGGTGACTTTTGCACCCAAACTGGGCATGGAAAGGCAGTGTCATTCTTAGCTACCCAGGGAGCAATTCCGCTAAAAAGCATCTGCAATTTTTGGCCGCCTGCAAGATGCCATTGGGGTTATTCTCCTGCACACGGCTGAGATGAGTTTTGTGCATTTGAAGGTGGGCTTCCCAAGGCCTACCAGCCTGGGTTTCGCATGCAGGCTACCAGACAATGGAAACTGCCATAATAGGCTAGGTATAGGGAGTATATGGAAAATGAAATGGACACTACTATAATAGGGTATATATAGCTAGTATATGGGGAGAATGGCAAATAAAATGGAAACTACTATAATAGGGTATACAGAGCAAAAATCTGAGCAAATTGGCTCCTCATCAGACTCCGGCTCAACCCAGTCAAAGGACAGAGAAGGCGCGGTGAGAATGGAGGACCTTGAATGCGAGTTGGTACGCTGGCGCCATGTTCCAACATGGCGCTGATGTCACACAATGTCACAAATCTTTTCCGTCTGCTTCCATGCAGGCGTGTTTTGTGTCTTAACCATAGGCTTTTTGGCTGCAGCCAGGCCGCATGGACTGAAGATCCCGGCCATTGCTCGAGTGAGCTTTGATCTTGTCCTGGCAGCACTGTCCCAAGCGGATGCGCAGAGCCCCCACGCGAAGCCAACAGTCGAGGAAATCTCAACTCTTTACCGACTCTAGCACAAAGAGCAATCAATCATGAACGATGCTCAGCAAACCGCGGGGCTTGCCTTCCTGGACTCTGCCTGATTCCGCAGCTGCTGCCGCAGCCGCTCCGAAGACTCTGCTAGCTGGGACTCACCTCGGAACAGGGAGAGCCTCAACATGCCTCAACAAACAGCCGCGTTGCGGCATGCGGCGAGCATCTCTAGTACGCGTCAACAGCAGGAGCAGCAGCAGGAGCAGCTTCAGCATCCTGCTACAGCTGTTCTGGAAACATAGCTGCTGGGTCATTATTTGAACATAAAGTTCTATTTTCCAAGCGTCTTGCAGGCATGAAAGAATCAGACGGACGGATGAAACCCTCTGTTTGTGCTCTTGCACCCCTTGACTGCAAATACCGTGTTCAGCACATTTCAGCATACTCTCCATCTAAGCGCCGTACTTGTCACACGCTCCGGAAACCGAAGCTCACGCTGCAGAATGTCTGCACTAGCCTCAGCGTGTGATACGCGTTAGCAAAACTGGCCTTGTAGATCAAATCTACGGATGCACACAACGATTCTTCATGCGCACCTGCTTCTCCCGCTCATCTGGATCCTTCTTGCGCTGACGCCCTTCATCGTCCGAGGCCTGCGCTCACAGATTCCCCGCACGCAAAGCACTCGGGATTGCTGCACAAGGCATGTTTGTAGTCTCTACCCGATCTCCACGACTCCAACCAAACGTCTGATTTTGGTCTATAGGGTTTATGACGTGAAAGCAAGCCGCATTCACCCTCTCTGTGATTTGTGCCTGAGCCAAGTTGGCTCCACCTGCGAAAGTGTAGCCAGTGCTCTTTGCCTGCCAGCGGGTCGTGTTGGCAAACAAATGCAACCAGGTTTTGGAGTTTGGGCGCGCATGCGTCCGACGGTCAAGCAGCTCATACACTGAAGTATACATCTTTGCACAAGAGTGCAACCACAATCATGAGCTGCTCAGCTGCAATGACATTGTAGATATGAAAAGGTAGCTACCCCCACGCCTGCTCCAGGCGAGGCTTGGAGATCTGGCCGCGGCGCACCTCCTTCTGATTGAGAACTCGCAGCTCGCGGGCCTCGCGCAAGGCATAGAGTTTTGCACGAATCAAAGCCATGCTCAGGGGCAGGGCCTGCTTGATCAGCCAGCGCAGGAATTGGTAGTGTGGATTTGCAGCATCCTGAAGGGAGCGGGGGGAACTGGACGTGTCCGGATGAAGCCACACGCAGCTCAGTCTCATTTAGCCTTGTCAGCTTCTCGGCGCTTCTCCGAGGCCTTGTAGCTGGCAAGGAAGAACCTGAAACCAGTGCGACACGTCACCATGTGCAACCTTCGGTATGTAGTCTGGGTGAGGCACTGAAGATTTACCTTGCCCTGGCGGTTGAAGATTGGCTGTGCTCCTGGCTCCTTCCTTGCGATTGCAGAATTTGCGGAAGCTGCAGGACTCATGCCAGCCAGTAAGAGATCCTCAAGTGCCTCACACCCGCAGAAACTCCAATGCAGCTTGGCGTCTTCTTTCCAAGGTAAGCCTCTGGACCAAGCTGGCGCAGCTCCTACGTTTTCGCTCGCATGTTACAGAAGTGCCTGATCCCTTGTCCAGGGTTTTCGGGGGAGTGCATCTACAATAATCCCTAACTATATAATCCCCATATATACCCCTATAATGGTACCTATATGCACTCCCCAACTCCCCCACTCACCCTAAATAATCCTAAATAAGCACCAGTAGGTTTGTCCGCGGTCCTGGGGCGTCATTGGCCGCAGCGAGAAGGCCAAGCGCAAGTCCTCGCTCCCTGCACGAGTGCTCAGGAGCTGCTTCCAGGCCTAGAGCGACGGTTTAGGGCTTAAATGGCTTAGGATTCAGGTTACGAGTTACGGGGTTAGGGTTCAGGCTATAGGCTTTAGGGTTCAGGTTACAGGGTTTAGGATTTACATTTTTGTTCTCGCCCCTTGCAAGGCACGCAGCAACATCAAAACAGGGAACGAGCCCACCATGGCGAAATCACTTTTTTGCTGTCCTCCGCCCTCACAGCCAACATAATTGGCGAGGGAGAGGCGAACCCTGCATATCCCTACATGATTCAGAGGTCCAGGCGCTGGTTATGCACTCAGACTCAAGTTCTTTTTCAACATCGCGACGTACCATACATTGTTGGGCGAGAGCCCGAAAAAACTCTTAGACAAGCTCGCTATCTTGTCAAGAGAGCACATCATCAAGTGCTGCAGAGATGCTGCCAGAGACTCCTCGTCTGGCCCCTGCAAACACCACGTCTTGATGCATCTCAAAAACTAAGCTTATCATCGATGGGCTGCCTAGGTCTCACAATGTGTAAATCATGATGTCAAGGAGAAAAGTTCCAAGCAAGTATGTCGGATCGTGCAGCTAGAATTGGAAAACACTCAGGCCGTCTCTGAGCTCCAGAATACCAGCTTGCTGCCGCACATGCTGCAGCAAGCCCACTCATGTGTCTGAAGCAGCGAAAGTGGCCTCTTCATCCGCGGACTCCTGCTTTGCCGCCTTTGTCCTTCCGGCCAAAGCCGTAGATGCCCCAGACCAAACTGCGAGGCTGTATCTACAGCCTGGCTCTTGGGCCACGCCACAAGTTTGCTCAGTCCTGGCTCGCTTCTGTCCCTTCCCTCCGCGGGTGCGACCGCCTGAGGCCTGTCCACTGGCCGTTCTATGCAGACACAATGCTGGACTACTGGGACTACTGGCACTTGTCAAACCGCTCCCACCTGCGACTCGTCGTCGCCATCGGCTTCGGTCCGCGCGACCTGGCGCCACGAATCCCCAACATCTGCTTTGCACAGGCTTGCTGAAGCATCGAAGATTTTGCAAAAGCTAATGCATGCTCTCACACCTGGCTAACACCCCGGCCTTGCGCTGCCTGCGCTTCTTTGGCGCCTCATCTGGGCTTGCGTCTGCACCCTCCGGGAGGCTCTGCTTCTCTGCCTGTCACACCCCTGCTCTTGCTCGCGGCCCAAGGTCGTCAACAAGCCCACATTAAGTCTTCAGATACGTTTCATTGCATGATGGGACGCTTCAAGGCAATGAAACGAGCAACTTCCAGCATCCTTCTTTTAGAAGCTGCTGGGCCTTGCGCTGCCGGCGCTTCCTGGGCGCCTCCTCCGGCAAGGCGTCCTCGGCCTCCGCAGCCTGTAGGCGCGGCTTCTCCGTCTCTCATCAAAGAAACAAGCACGCAGCACAGAAGGCATCACTGACTAGTGACTAGCAGAGCAGATTTGGATGTGGCTTGCTGGTGGCCGGTTTGCACACGACTGCCAAAAAGATCCCCATCAGAGCTCCAGCAGCAACTTTTCTACTCAGCAAATTTCAGCAATGCTTACTTTAACAGGCATTCCATGTCATTCCCATACATGCTGTTGAGAGCAAGCTTCGTCTTCCTGTACTTTGCTTTACACTTGCAATGATGTAAGGGCTG